TTACTGGATTGCTAGACAAAATAAGATGGTCATATTAGTATAGACAAATAATTGGCACAAGAATATAAGATATTGTGAGTAAGACTAATACCTATCTGTAGTCGGTGTTGTCCCCCCAACCCCCAGCTACTCTAAAGAAACCAACAACACAGAGCTCCACAGTTCAGCCGGACTGCTATAGTAGAGTCTCTTGCCCGAGGTTCTCTTTGCATACTGGGATCAATTGCAGTAGAAGAATGAAACAAATTGCCCAGAATGGTACAAGTTCCCCAGCCACGCTTGGGGGAGTAGGCAATTGGTCAGTGTAATGTGTTTCTTTGCCAGACCAGTGGACACTCGCCACTTGACGGATAACACGGACCTCATTTTTAGTTTTCTGTGAGAGTTTGCAGAAGCAGCAATGACAATAATTATACTATAACAACGACAGCGCGCCATAATAGTTATAACATGTTTTGCCACAGACAGAGTCGTGAAGATCCCCAGCTTTCAGGGGGAATCACAATTAGGGTGGTGATTGTGGGGACTTTCTCGCTGTTTTTACCACTATTATATAATAGTTGTGACATCTCAGGGCACCTCAGCGGACAGAAATCTTAAAGATTGTAATAAAGTGAAGGGAGCTGCGTAGGGATCATATTTTTCGTCTATTAGGACAATAGTAAGCATTGAGATGCCCTGTTGTGCCTCTGCTAAAGCCATTTCTGTCCATAGTCCCCTACGGGCTTGTAGGTTTGTATGGCCCTCTGCAGAGAGATGGTGGGTGGGGGGTCAGTGAATACACTGGAATGTACTGTGAGTCAGGCTTGTGGTAAACCTCGCTTCAAATACAGAAAAAAATGTTGAAAATGTAGTAAAACTGTTGATTTTAAAACAAAAAATATAGTCTTACACAAAATGCAGCCATGGTTGTCTTGTGTCGGATGCACGAGGCTTTACAGTTGTTTTGCAGCACAAAACTAATTTGAACTGTAAACATGTGTGCTCATTGTGCAACTATTTGTTTGAAGCTTCGTGACACACTGAGATTTGTGTTTGTTTCTATCGCTTGTCAAAATACATCACATTTATACGTTAATGCATAAAGATTTTTTCTACGCATTTGTTTTGCTGCTGATGACGGTAGGCTTTGCTGAGAAACAGATGTGAGCATTTTGCCTATCAGCATGTGTAATTAGCAGCATTTGCATATGCAGTGTTTTAACCCACATTCAGCTGTTTTTTACTTTATAAAATATTGATCTATAGGAAGCTAAATGGTTAGTTTATTGTTGTCAGCAATCTTGCTTGAATGAGGTCCTTAGATGTTATATTAACGTCCTAACTATGGTAAGAAAGCCTTAGCTTTAATTTCAAGTAATGCAGGTGTAGCAGTGGAAAGAATTTAAACAGTTTCCTTGCACTTTGCAAGAGTGAGTCATTTCATCCATGTCGATCCCTTCTGAAAATTGTTTCATAGCCATTAGTAAAAATATGTGCTATGCCTCAATTAGCCAGTTCCATGCCCCGAAGAGTTGCGCCATACAACACTCTCTGCATGCAGATCCACCAAATGCTAAGTACTGTCACAGCATATGATACCAATGCCATTAGCCAGGTGGCTTTCATTACCCAAATTACAGCTATTGTTTATAATTAATTATTTGTAAATAGGAAGATTCTGAATTTAATTGATAGCTTGAATTTCCCCCTTCTCCTATTAATTAGGTTGATGAGGATTTCAAGGCTTTTCACTGCGTATTTTTTCCTTCTGTGTTTGAGACACTGATGCACCCTGAATGCAGAAGGAGATGCGGCTATTCAGCACTCAAACTTGAATTTGTCAGGTCCACAACCGGTGGATATCCTAGCTTAATAGAGCCTGAAGCACTGACCAGACAGCCATACTAGCTCAGTGACAAAGTGAAAGCCCCTAATTGTTTTTAATTTAATCTGCTGCTTTACTATTTTGGGTGCCAGTGCATATTAATGTTCTGTCTTATGTTGTAAGGAAGGGTAATTAGGTTGAGAGTGAATGATTCCCTAACCACTCTTCTGTCTCCCAACCTTCTGTTTCCCCATGTTCTAAATTATATCCGAGAGGGAAGGATTTTTATTTTCCTCTTCTCACATAAAGGTCAATGTAAGGATGCACTGCAGTGTTTCCAAGTGAGTGTTTGTGTTTTTTATTTGGTGCCAGACATATAAAAATGTATGTTGGACAGAGATTACTAAACTCAAATGTTTAAATTGACTTACAAATGAAAAAAAAAAGAAAAAGAAATATGCTTTGTTATTTTACACATACCTGTAGTGCTCAGGACATCCCATAATCTGTCATACCTGAAACTGTTTTAAGATTTACTCTGAGAAGACATTTGTTTAATCTAACATTATTTTAAGCAATTTTCTTCACTCTGCTCTTAGTGTCAACTATGAATTCATCATTGACAAAAAGAAAAGGTTGGAATCTTGTTGCCTTGTTATCTTTTTTTCTACTTTCTACTTTTTATCATGCCTTAGCAATATGATGCTTCATAAAGAGAATAAGCGCTCAGCTGTGCTCATCATGTGAACAAATCTGAACAAAATGCTAATCATTAGCTTTGTTTAAGGCTAAAACAAAAAAGACGTAGATAAATGAGTCAGATTTGGTTTAGTTGTCTAGTTGGTTTATCTATTTTTCTATATGAGCTAGTACAGAGTCTCTTGAATGCTGGTGTTAGGAGGTAAAGAGGCAGATGAATTACTGAAAAAATGTAATCCTACCGTTCTGCAGGCAGCTCACATCCACTTTGTAAGACTGCAATTGGCTACATATTTTAGCATGAAGTGAGCATACTATGCCCAGGAGAGCACAGGTTGGATATACATTAATGTAAAACCTGCAATAACTTCCTGTTAATGTCTGTTAAATGAAAAAAGCGGCATTATAGCAGCGTAAAACTCGACAGACTCTATAAAATGCACACAAGTCTTGGTTTTAATCCAGATGCCTGCGCTTGCCTCTTCATGTTGCTCCCATTTTTTTTTCTTCTTCTTCAAATCTCCCAATATTTAGTTTTGTTTCGATACTTTTGGTTCACGTCCACGATTTTGGTGCTTTTGATGTCAGTGAAATCTGATTGAGGTAAGAAAGGAAAACAAAAGTCCCCGAAGTTCTTAGTGTTTTTGAAACAGATATGTTTTCATAGATATTAAGAGTGGTTTATGTGCCTTTAAAGTTAACAGGGTATAGATTTAGCAATTAAGCAGTAATCATGCTCATTATAGAGAGTAATCCATTTAAAACCTAACAGATGTCTATTCCGACGGGGGATCGCAATGGTCCCATGCCAACAATAAGGCTCTAATGTTGTTGAAATGCTCAGGTGCAAGGTTGAAGTGTGGAAGAATTTTTTTTTCTTCCCTTAAGTGTCCACATGTTGACAGTTGACCATTTAATGGCCCACTTAATTGCAGTGGCCCCTTCATCCCCAAGCATCATTGTAAATTAATGCTGAGGTGGTAGTGTGTTTTCCTGAGAGCTTCCCCCGTCTCCTCCTTTACTTCAAACATTTGGCCCTTTCTTCTTTAACTGTAACTCTGTGTTTGACAATGAGACTCATCCTGTGATGGGTAAAGCCCCAGAGAGAGTTGAAATAGTTCAGAAATAGCTTTTCTCCAGCCAGAGGAGTAAAACAGTTTAAAACAGGCATCTGGAGAACCTAAGATGACAACTTTGGTGTGGTAAGTCATTATAAACTGCTAAGCTATTCCAGCGGTTAAGATGCTTTTATTAAGAAATGGTCACAGACAGAGGCTCCAGACAGAAATCAATGCTTGAGATGCTTTTGGCTTTGTCTACATGTCACATGGTTATTTCATGGTTCATAGTGATGGATGTCGAAGGCCTGTATAGACTCAATATTTTAATGTAGATTGGAAGCTTCAGCTTCTCACGAGTATTTACATACCATGCTCAAGTGACTTATAATGAAAAGTCCATTAAATTTAACAATCAAATGTTCTGAGAGCAGTATATGGAGACGCAAAACCACTCGAGACCATCGTAGAGAAGTTTTTTGCGTGCGTGTGCATTTGTGTGTTTATTGTTGATATGCAGGGTGGAGGTATGCACCATCCAATTAGAGTAATATCTGTCATGCATTTAAATATTTTCAGCTCAAAGGATGCAGTGGGGGTTGGGGAGGGATATCGAAGGGGCTCTGAGTGCCTGTCGGAGCTGCCTGTTTTCCAGGTCTGCCTCGCTGCCAGGTGTCTGACATTGACTCGGAGCTGGAGATGAGTGTAGCTTATGGCAAGCTATGGAACTGACCGACTCCTGGGAGTCACAGCTTCAAGTCAAAGTTTCCATTTTCAAAGCTCATCGGTTGCACTGGGCGGGGGGCGCTCCAGAACGGCCCATATGCAAGCACTGACGATGTAGAAGGAAAACTTTGTCCGATATATTTGTTGCTGGAGAAGTCGTACAAACAAATACCGACACTCGCTGTGGTCATCCACTTTGCCAAGAGACCAAACCAGGGAGTGTAATTTTCAGTGAATGACACATTTCCCTTCAGAAATTAGACTTGAAACCTGTCAAGGCTTATTTGCATGAATGTCATTAATTTCTCTGCAGTTTTGTCATGTTTTGAATAAATGTTCTTCCTTTTGTGTGGTTTCACAACAACAGCAATGTCAATTAAGACTAGTTTAGGTTTCAACACTTTACCTGGACACAGAAGGTTGAAGGTGATGTTATGTACGAATAACTGGGGGGAGAAGAAAAAAACAAAAACAGGCTATATTTTTCTCATCTCTCATACCACACACAACCTCCCCCTTTCTTCTACCCCCACACCATCGTGGCAGGAATCCTTTGTCAGAGGTGTTCATCTGGAACAACTTTGCCACACTTGTTTTCATGTTCTTTTAGATTACAGGGCAGCTGGCCCCAGCTTTGAAGCTCCCCTCTCCCTTTGTCTCTGTGCAATGCACTCTGGTAATTAACTTTGTCCTTCTTTTATTTGTTCCAGTCACTCGCAGTCCACTCTTCTGAGCATCTTCTCCCTGGAGTACCAGGTTAGAAGTTTTCTTCCTTTGTGAGCCCTGACAGGTGCCTAATTGAATGATGAATGTCCCTTTATTTCTTTGTAATTGAACTGCCAGCTTTCTGATTGGTTTGGAGGATTCCCCCCACCCCCCCACCCCCGTTTATTTCACCCCCTCCCACCTCCACCCCTTCCTCCTCGTCACGTTCACGTTGAGGGCCTTTGCCTGCCTGAGCCTCAGTGGATGTCTGCCAAGCCTTCCCATCCATCTGTCTAATAACATCTAGCCCCTGCTTATTTGGTGGACCTGTAATAAATTATGCTAAACCATTATTATTCTGACAATAATAATTTCCCCGTGTAGTGCGGCTGCGTGTGCTAAATGTTTGCTGACTCGCACTGTCACTGCTGCTTTCCACGGCTGACAGCGGATGATGATAAATGGCCGCTGCCGCCAGTGGCAGAAGGCAGCACAGGCAGAAAATGGAGTCATTTATCATCCCACTGACAGGTGTCAGTCACACTGCCTGTCTCTGTGGAATTACATTTTTTGTGTGTAGTAGTTTTTAAATAAGTTGTTTTTAACCAATGCTCTTCCTCTTTTATCCTCTGTCCTCCTTCTTCCCAGCGAGGATAGCAATTGAATTGCATGGAAATGTCAGGGTGTGCAATGTGGAATAATGTCACTAATCGAAAAAGGGGAAATGAATACACGGTTTGAGTGGGGCAGGCAGAGGGGGGAAGGTGGGTTTGAACAAGGTTGCCTTGCTACTCTGACCCCGTGGAAACTTATTGAAATGAAATTACAGTGACCTCTAATCTCTTGCACTTGTTCATGTAGCATAGAACATGAAAGAGGAGCCGAGGCTGAAGTCTGCATTTTAGTTGGGTGGACTGAAAATGGAAGCACTTTGCTGCTATAAATAGTATTTTATGAAGATGATGTATGCATGTAAGTGCTGTTATATTGTTATTCGTACTAGTGCTGCTTTGGCGTTCTCTTTGTGGCAGAAACGGACCAAAAGGACAATCTCAAGACACCACGCATCAGATGTTATTGAAAGCCACTACCAGAGGTACTGTAATACATTGCATTATATATATACACTTTTTAAAACATTTTCCTGCAGTTTTTTGTCTTGTGCGTGGTCTCTATTCATGTTCCCTTCATCTCTATTACTGTTTCCTTATTTTTTCTCTCTAATCTGTGTCCCACTCTTGTATGCTCTCTTTGTCTTCCTCATTCTCTGGATGAGGTGGGGACTTACCAAAGTCACATGAGAGTAGGTGGGCCACCGTGACAGTTATAATCTCCTCCAAACAAATCACCAACCCGCAGGATTCATTCCAGACCTCCACTTGCACCTGCTAAGCTAAAGCTCTGTTCTCCATGTCAAACTGTGTGCAGGAAAATAAATAAATAAGCAACCGTTGGACATTTGCCTTACACAGGCTTATGATGGGGATGATTATCTGTAATTCAATGAAAACGGATAAATTTAACAAAAAAAAAAAAAAAAAAAAGAGGAAAAAAACACACAGGCTGTAGAGGGAAAAGCCTCTTTGCATATTGCAATTAGCCTTTATCTAGCTTATTAGGCCATTGTTCTGGGGAAAATAAGGCTGGATAATGCACTTCTAATCCACTTACAACAGCAAACCTCAGAGATGATCTGGGTAAGATCTAAGGGGAGTTGCAGTTTTAGCTGGCGAGGGTAAAAAGGCTTTTTGGGCGGCAGGGGTTAACTAACTATCATATGCTTGTCTGGCTTCAAGGAAATTTGAAGCCCTTCAAGCAGTGCTGTTTTAACCGCACAGAGCCTGCCATATGCCACCCAGGGCAAAGTCATCAGGGACATTAGCATGTCTTGGCTAGCCTGGTCTAGCCCCCTCTACCCTTCTGTCTGCCTTTGTGGGCTGTGTTTTTTTTCACTACTGTTGTTGTTCTTTGTTATAATGAAGGTATCTGAGTGAGGCCAAGGCACATCCCTCTGCTCCTGTCCTGCTGGAGTTGGCCAATGAGGTAAAACCTAAAATGTAGATTTGGTTTTTTTTTCTCCATCATTTTATTTGCTTAGAAAAAAAAATCACAATAGATAAGTTCTTTTTCTATAAATTAACAACCAGGAGTTGCCGCAGTTTTTGATTTTCTCCCTTGTCTGTTAGTCATTATGAAAATTGGTAAAATGGTCGGCTCTATTATCAATTATTTAATGTAATTAGCTCTCGGCTCCATTAAGCAGATGTGAAAATACTTTTTCTGTTTTATTATGTAATTTTCTAAATTGCAGTTCAGGCAGAGTTGCCACAAACTGCGGACAGGTGAGGACGGGGTCATTGGTTAATTCTCCTCTTCATCACTCCATCAGCTATTTACTTTGGGAGGTCAGTGTCGGTGCTCTGGCTGATGTGGTGGGAGCTGCATACACACGACATCAATCCAGTTATTCAGTGGTGCAAAACCCAAATAGTAGGTGGTAGGTATTTGTGTGCGTGCTGTAAAATAGCCTGTTATTTAAGCATTTAAATTATTCACAGGATGAGGTTTCTGCAGTCCAGATTAAAATGAACCTTCTCAGTGTGTTTCTTATATTTTGCACCATGTCAGTAAACTTCCATCAGGGTAGCACCAAAAACTCAATCAGTAGCTCTTATGTATTTAACACAATGCAAAAAAGCAGCTAATGTTGCTAAATTACTATAGACTTAGTACATTTTAAATTATACACTATTTTTATTGTCTGTCTGTATAATTTCTGAAGCCTGACTGGATTTTTTTTTGCATTTGTTTATTTGTACTTTGAATATATTGTTAGTCTTTCTCTTTCATCTTATTTTGATCATTACCATGGACCCCGTTACCCTTTTAAACATTTAAATGGACATTTAAATTTTGATTGGCGCTTCCATGAGGCAATGAGATTTCAGGGTTTCTTAATCTAAAGTCAGCGTAGTTCACATGCATCACTGGTACCTCAAAGCTAACTGCCATTATTCATTCTCCATTTAATTGACGCATGATTTTTTTTTTCTTGAAAGGATTAAATTCAGCACAGAGATAACTGTCTATGAACCATTTAACTGTCATTTTAATATGCTACTTAACATTTAAACCAAGCACTCATGGTCTCCCAGACTGCTAATTGATGTAGTTTCATGTCTTTATGAGACAATATATCTCCAACAGAAGAAAATGATTAACAATAATGAAAACTATTCATGGATATTTTTTTGCCTCAAGAAGAAGTCCATGAATGAGGGTTCTAAGCCCTTTTTTTTTTTTTTGCATGCTTTATGAGGAGCTTTATGTAAAGGTTACTTAACCATAGTGGCTTTGGAACAGATACAGTTGTGCTGCACTGTATGTGACACCCATTAGCTGTGGGGGCTAATAAAAGTGGAGTTTTACTTAACAATAGATATTTTTAGCAGGAATTCAAGGCTCGCTGACTCTTAGTCACATGTGAAACTCCTGAAGTGCTGTGATCTGACTTGAGAATGGAGATGGACTCATGATTAATATGAAAATTAGGGAGATGCAAGTACCTGAACTAATCAGGTGGTCCTTATTCAGACTGGGCCGGCGTCGGTAATGTTGCCATTTTTCATGTGTCAGCTCTGATGCAGGTTACCAAGAATCTGATGCTGGGTTGTTATCCAAAAGTGTGAGAGGAGAGCAGGCGAATAAGCACAAAAAGGAACGACGGAGAGCCGAGAAGAAAGGGGGGAGGAAAATTAGAAGAATTAGAGAGACAGCTACATAGCTGCAGGCTACAAATGCTAAGTCTGAAATGTTATCAGAGGTATTAATGAAGATATAAACTCTGTGCTCACCCCTTAATTATTATAGACATGTTGGGCCCTTTTTTTAAAAGCTGCCTTCTTAGTGCAATATTATGGAGATGTTAACAAATACTACTGTGGGTAAAAAGACATTGTTTAGACAGAAGCGTCTCTGCTCCCAGCGTTACCAAGAAGCATCAGAGAAAAGATGAAACACTCCATTCTCACTGCGAGCTGAGGGCAAATTCACTTTTGGTCCCCAATTATGCTAACAAGAGAAAAAATGATCTTTGGCTGTAAGAGTGTTGTTTCGTAATGAGCTGGCTAGGAATGGCAAAGTCTTAAAGCGATGTTTTAATTCCCACTATACTGAGCAGGCTGTGGAATTTAGTCGTGAGTGACTTAATGCATCTTCTTATTTACAGTGTATATATAAAACAGAGGTCAAATGCAATGCTCGACATGATGCCTTTAAAGCTAAGGCATACATTCACAAATATACGGTGCCTGTCAATTGGAATATAATAATTAGTAATTGTTCCATTGTGCTAACCTTAAGAATAGCAGTTGTTTTTTCACATTGTAATAACAGTATTGTTTATTATATGCAGCCGTGCATTGTGCTGATAAGACTGTGGTCAGGTAGACACCCTCAGCCTCAGTCATTAGTGCTCTCTTACCTGTCAGGGCTTCTCCCTGCACTCAAACCAAAAACACTGTTCACCTCTCAAGGTGTCTTTGTGTTCAAAGAGTGCTGCAGCCACAGGTTCTATCCTTCCTATTAAGAAGTGCATTCCCATAGTCCCTCAGGTGTGTCCTATTGGTTCCTGCAGTTTTGCCTTGGTGATCATTCTATGATTAAAGCTCTCCATTGTCTCTTGCCTGTGCATGCTGTGTGCTGCTTTTTCTTACAAGATGAGAGACTTGGGTTGTCTGTTTGACAGAGGCGAAGGCAATTCAGCCAGGTTGCTTGGCTGCGTAATAAGCGCTCTCTGGGTCCTGTGGGAAAGGTTATTGCAAAGCAAGGCTTTAAAAGACCAATTTGCACAGGGATTGTCAGAAGTTGGGTCAAGGTTTGGAAATACAATAATATAATTTAGAGCCATTATGATCATTATTATCTATGTGACATCAGCCAAAGGTGGCCTGGCTGTGTAGTTTCAGTGCTGTAATTCCTATGTTCTTTAAAATATATTTGCACTTCCAGCTGGATATGTGGGATTTAGTCTGAAGGTTTGTAAATGGAGCGATTCTCCAGAGAGGAATAACAGTTCCACCATACCTATGTTTTGAGGTAGCATTAACTCCCCCGCTGATGCCACGGCCTGTTTTTATTAAGGCTAATTTTCGCTTTTGTCATTCAATCTATGTAAAGGTGGATCTGTCTCCTGCACTGATGGCTCGCATCATCCTGGAAAGGTTTCTTCAGGGCCTGGACGGTGAAATGCGTGAGTAACACTTTTCCATTTCTCCCTCTGTCCTTTCAATCATTCCCCCCATCAGTCTTAATTGTAGCACTTTGTCTTCTGAATCCCTTTCTGTTTGAGTCCCAATTCCAGTCTAGCTGCTGTATTTTCAGCCTGTCCAACCCTAATGAGAGACAGACCACATTTAGTAGTAGCTGCATCCCAGGGCACATGACTGGCAATTAAGTACTAGGAGGACCACCCACCTCTCAACTGCAGTGTGGATCAATGCTAGCTCACCTCATCAGTGTTATTTATAACGCCCCTGATTTCTTCCCTCGCCCTCCTTCATCCTCCAATGCATCCATCTATCCTCTACCTTCTCCTCGTCCCTCATTCCCTCCTCTTTCTCGGTGCCTACCGAGGTCCACTGAGGAAATTGAGTTGAGGAAAACTGTGGCAGAAAAAGCAAACCATTCCTCCGTAGTGCTGATGGACACGCTGCGGGAGAACAAAATTCCAGACGCAAATATTTTTGTTGAACGTGTCAAAGAGATTTTCCAGAAATTGTGTGAATTATTGTCCACGTACATTCTGGTTAGCGTCTCTTTCCTGTCTCCTGGCAGAAAAAAAAAAAAAAACCTTACATCATCTTCTACAATTTTTTGCCAAGAACACTGGCCTTTTCAGTTCCACTTTTTTGCATATGATATTTGTTAATTCATACGAAACCTTTTCTCTATATTTTTTCCCTTCGCCCTGGGACTTCCAATATTACATGCACACATGGTTCCATATCATTTCAATCGGTGTGTCCTGAGCACTGGGTGTGTGTGCATGTCTGTGCAATAGTCACTGCTTTGAGACTTGAATCGCATGATGTCAAAAAGACGTGCTTCCAATTTAATCAAGAAAGAGATTAAAGTGGATGTGTGTTATTTTCAACTTCGCCACAGCACAGCCATTTGTCAAAGTCAAAGATGTGATTGCTTTGGACCCACCGTTATCCACTGCCTGTCAAAATACTAGTCTGAGCAGCTTGTAGAACAGGGCATTCATCCAGGAGAAGCACTCTGTCTCAGATAATAGCACACTGCATCCGTCCATCTCCATACAGTGAAAACATGCTTTATTATTGCTCAGAATAGATTTGTAGCAGATGAAACTTCCTGGATGATCGTTGTTTAATTTGAACAGTGTTGTAACCGCGCGGTATCTCAGTTTTCGCTGGCTAGCGCGTAATGTCACGGTCGCGGTTCGTCTTGTAGCAAGTGATTTCACAGAGGCTAGATGTGTTTTACAGACTAATCTTAGATCCAAATCAGACTAACATAAGACACATGCTGCAACACACATAAATATACACTTAATTCTTTAACTGGTAAAATGGTTCAATCGTAAAATGCAACGTTTAAATGTCGATGTCATTATCCTGTACCCCTCCACTGTAGCCAGCGGTAAAGTCAGTGGCTGTGAGGGTGACTTCTGTTTTGACAGAGCTTCTCTGCAATCCCCCCATGACCTGCTCGGCCTTTGCACATGAATTGCTGGCCACATGGGCTGCCCGGTCAAGTCGTCGAATCTCCCTGTGTGTATATTAGACTCCAGTAATGTGTTTCCACTATGAAACAATGCAAGGATAATTGTCTTTGCTGGCAATTAGCTAACAGGTTGGTTCACTGCTATTGGCAGGCATATCTGTCACTGGCCAGACTGTGCTCCAGTGCACATGTGTGTGTGTGTGTGTGTGTGTGTGTGTTTGTGTGTTTTATTCGGACTCCAGAGGGAGGGCAGGCAGGCGCGCTGCAAAGATCAATAGACTTCTATATAAGGGACATTACCCCCAACTGGGTGAGTGGCTTGCCTTTGCCTAGCACCATCGTTTTTTTATTCCCCTTCTCTTTCCCCTTGCATTTAAGAGACACAGGAATGGGGCCTCTGGGACTATGGAATATATGTACAATCACTAGCGCTGGATCAATACAGAGTTTTAAATTGTTTTCTGTACCTTCCTTGTTTTGTTTTGCTCGCTTGTTGTTGCCCGCCCCCCACCACCACCACCACCACCACCAGCAGCAGCTACACACACCAGCTACACACCTCAACATGACGACACCACCAACAAGCTGCCTCCCCCTCTGCTTGCAGCAAAAGTATTGGAGAGAGCATCAGTCAAGCAGAATGAAAGACTATCTGGTGGCGCTTGTAAATGAATCAATACATTCAAAGCAGTTTTATCGCATATTGAATATGGTATCAACATCCATAATGCTCCTTGCCTCATGAAAACAGACTGGGCAGTAGGGGAGGAAAGGTCACATGTGCACCCAGTTGAGACAGCCGCAGTGTGTAGGCCAGAATTCCTCTTAGGGTTGGGGGATTTTTTTGTAGTTTTTTTTAACATTCATGTCCATAAAAGGGGGACATGAGTGTGTCTTTAATAAGTCTCTAAGCTCCTGAAAGCTTGGTATGCAAACTGAGCAATCAAAAACAGTTTGTCTTTATTTTATTTGAGTATTTTTTGATGTGTTTGTTTGATTTTTGGCAAAAATAAAGTGAACGTACTGGCCTGGGCTGATATCGCATTTCTTGACAATGCTGTTTATTGTATAGTTGTTTTTTGTTTTTTTTTGTTTTTTTATTTCCATCATCTTTATTTTTTTGTTCTGTGGAGTTAAAGCATTTCATTGTACATATAGTGTATAAGTATACAAGTATGTACAGTAGTGACAGTAAAGCACAATTCAGTTGAAGAGAGTTTGATGAAAACTGTATTTAGTTAATTTTTTGGACAGTCAACAAACTAGAAAATTATATGCAGTGGAAAAAAGGAGGACTTTTTATAAAAACAATACAGTGATGATAATAACAGTGGATACAGTTCCACTGAAATGCACTAAAATCAGGATTACAAATATTGACATAACTGATGTATCTGTACTGCAAAAAAAAGTACATTTTAAAATCAGTTAAAATGTTTAGGTTGGTAGAAAAGTGATATTTGATACTCACAGATATCGTTAAAAGTACATTATGTGTACACGGAATATGTCTCAGCACAAGTTCTGTAAATGATCCGATTGCACTGTCGCCGCCGTATTGTCATTCCAGTTTTGTGTCAGTAGATACCTCTTAGAAGGCACTAGCAGACACACTGGGGGAGCTCATGCTCTTTCTTTTTTCCCTCCTGCTATCTCTTCATCTTTCTCTCTATTCCTCCTTTGACAGGAGGTGATGTGCCTCTAGATTTAGACATACTTTTTTGAGGAGGCAATTTTGCTAGCTATTTGACCTTTTCCATTTTCCCAAGGCCCAGCTCCAGATTAGATTGCTGCTCCATGTTTTGTAACTATGTGATTCGACCGCCTTTAAGATTTATTGTCACATTCCTTTACAGAAGCCTTGTACGCAAGGTTATAAATGTCCCGTGTTTGATGTTAACACTGTGAGAATGTTAGTGTCTACTATGATCTTTTGGTTCCCTGACAGAATTCATAATAACTTCAGTGTTTTGCAGATAAAAAGTGTTGATAACTGAATATTGTATTATGTTCTAGCCGGTAAAATCGCGACGTATCCACTATGATTGTTATGGTTCCGTCTCTCTTGTCTTCAAGTGCTCCTCTTTTCTCTCTCTCTCACCTCTCCACTGTGCGGAGCTGGTGTGTTTATATGCACCCTTTTTTTTTTTTTTTTTTGTCAAATAATGAGAGCAAGGGCACTTCATTAGCAAGAAGGGAGGGAGTAAGGAGGCAAAGACAGCATGAGTGTTACTGCGCGTGTGTGTGTGTGTGTGTATGCAAGGGGTGGGTTGCGAGGGAGGTAAGCAGCACCGTGGCACTTCACTTGACAAGTATACTAATTACTCCTTTTCAGCAGAGGAGCTCCAGTCAGCCTCTGCCACAGTCTAATGGCCTGACCTGGGAAGCCTCTCTCCATAGCAGAGCCTCCCCAGATCTACTATTACTACAGCCTCACACACACACACACACACACACAGAAATGTAGAGTCTCATCTCACCGCTATCAGGAAGAATCAGGTGGAAGCAGATCAGTTCTGCCCCAGTAACCTCTTCAGGGACTGGGCTCCTCCTGCACAGAAGATACCACCTCATATCATCAACTAGCACCTACACACCACCACAGATAGTTTAAAAAAAAACACTTTTTTTTCCTCCCTCCCTTTCCTCTCATCTCCCACTACTCTCTCCCGCTCTCTCTCTCTCTCTTTCCCATCTTCTGTTTTTTTCAATGCAGGAGGATAAATTTAAAAGGAGTAAATTGGAAAATCAAATGAGGGCTTTAGGCAGCCGCAGAGATTTGCAGAGCTGTCGGCCAGTGTTGGAGAGCCTCATCCATCATGTCCCACAAGTAGTCAATTCCTCTAGTATCTGTAAATGTTTTCAGATATTAGCCAATTTATATGCTCCGAGATTCATCATGGAAAATCAGCTTTAGCGGCGCACATTATCAGGACCTGTCTCTCCCTTGCTCCATGAAGTTTGATGAACGAGTGCCCCTCCACAGCTCAATGACTTGAGCATGGGGAGTGTGTGTGTGTGTGTGTGTCGGTGTGTGTGTCGGCGGGGGGGTGTGTGTGTGGGCATACAGAGGAAATGGGCAACTCCCCCCCCCACACCCATGGAGAAAAAAAATGGGTTTTTTAATTAATAAACAAACTTGCAGAGGAGCTCATCAGTGTCAGGGGCAATAACAATCGTCATCCGTTATTGTTTATTACGGTCCTCCCTCAACAAATGTTGCTATTTAATGAGGTTTCTCTACATTTTTTTGTGTTTTGAGATAATGACTTTTTCACCCTCGTGCAGGAAAGAAGAGTAGTTACAAATGACACGAGTAAGCAAGAAGAAATCAAGCTAAGGTTATGTGGCTGTTACCTTGCTTTATATAGTTTATCTTGTTTTGGAGTCGCATATGAAAACAGGCTCGTGATTTGTTTACACTGGTTGTTTGCTTTAGCAAATCCCAATGGAGGCGTCGCGTTTCACATCTATTATTCTCCTCTTCTCTGTTCTTCCTGTTCAGATGTTGACGGTGTGATATGGTGCCTTAGTCAGAATTTATACCAACATGGGACAATTACAGTAAATTTGGTGAATGTTTACAAGGTGCAAAGTTGTGCTGCAGGGCTTTGTTCTGTGTGTCTGGTGTTCTTCAGATTGTGCTTTTTTTTTTATTTTCCTGCACGTGTTTTATGCGTGCGTCTTTGTGTGCCTTGAGTGTGTGTGTATTTAAAGAGCACGTTCTGTGTGTGTGTGTGTGTGTGTGTGTGTGTGTGTGCGAGGCAGAGAGGAGCTCAGGGTGTCATAGAGGTGTGCTGCCGTGCAAGGCGGGGGCGTCTTTAATAAATGTATGCTGATGTTGGAGGCTGCAACGATGCGAAGGATGCAAGGGCCCTGTTGTTATTTACTGCTGTGTTTGTGCACAGCAGCGAATCCCGGGCCTGCAAATGGCATTACAGCCCGTGATGAATGAGCATTAGGGTAAACTCATTTTAAAAGCATCCTGATTTATTAGCAGCCTGGCCTTCCATTTTCATCAGGTCAATGCTTGGCTGAAATTCCACAATGTCAGCGCCAAGGTCACCTCTTTATGGCTATTTTTAACCCCATCGCTCAGAAAGAGCAGGAGAAAGGGATCCTATCACTTATTGTGGCCATCCACCAAAAATATCAAAGCGCTTGAGAGGCACAGGAGAGAGAGAGGGCTCGTCCTCGAAGCGTGTGTTATGTGAGAGACCAAAATGTGGTGGTGGTCAACCTCCAATTATGAGCGCTAGTAAGACAAGAGCTTTAATGGCTAACGTTTGCCTTCGGGGAGGTTTATTACACACTGCTGTTTTGCAGAAGCAGCGTCAAATCTATAAAACGACCATTAGGAAGAGGGAAAAAATCAATCAAAATGCCATTAAAGTGGAATAAGTTGCCAATATTGCTGATGTGGTTGCGGGTCCTTTGATTTTCCTTCAGATTATTAGGCACAGTCGAGTAGTGACTTTGTTAAGGGAAACCAGTGTTGTTGGGGAGTAATATGTCTCCTGGCTTCATAAAGTTTGCTGCCTCATATTTCCCACTTTATTGATTATCCATTATCATTTGTCATGAGGTGTCCTAACTCAAGGGGAAAATATAACCCTCTTTCTTCACCACCGCCTGCACTGCACAGGAGCATGGTATGGATCTGCGTGTGAAGGTACCAATCTCCGAGAAAAATGAGCAGAGAAATAAAGCACAGCCCTGTGCCTTGCAGCTCTAAGAGGGGAGCGTGGGGTTATGGGGTGGGCTGGGGGAGCACCGTGGCTGGGAGAGAAACTGAAACAGAAAGCAGGTTGCAAAAGAAAAAAAAAAAAAAAGGAAGCTATGGCAAAGAAAGATAGAGACAAAGACACAGAAGAAACATAAGAGAGAAGGGCGTGCTGGATGGGCTTTGTTCTTCTTCCACCCTCCCTACTTTTTATTTCATCGTAAGGTAGATGAGGGATCACAGCACTGTTTGTCCTCCCTGTGATAGTTTTCCCAAGCAGTAGTGCCAATGAAAGAAGTGCATAAGGAAAGATAGGACAGAAAAGAAGAGTCTCAGTGTCTTTCTGTTAATGAAATTCATTTAACAGAGGCTTAATGATCCAGTCAGCAATCAATTGATCCTTTTCATTTGGGGCTTTTTAACTCTCTTTTTTTTTTTTTTTTATCCATTTTTATAAATCTTCAAATAAAGCTGCCCTGTCTTTAACAGTTATATAGTGTGTGCAGTTTTCTAGATGAGCTTGAGAATCTCTGCAGTGTTGGTATAGGCACCATCCATGCCTGAAATGTGAATAGAAACATTCCTGGTATTGTCTGTAATGCTGCAAGTCTGTCAGGAGCATGTGTATATATATCACTAAAATGGCGTGCCTCAACCATTTCGTCACACAATGATACAATCCATTTAATCCAAATCTTTTTAAGAAATGATTTAAGGAATTTTTTTTTGCTGTTGCAGTAACAGTGAGTCAATCCGGCAGGCTTCCCTTTCTGATTTATAATGTTAGTAGAGCAAGAATGGAGATGAGAGATGCAGAATAGTCAGTGTTCATAACATAGATAAACTACATGAAGCGCCTGTGCTCTGGACTGAAACATTTATCTATAGAAAATCTGTATAGACACCAAGCAGCCGTCTTATGGACAAGTGTAGAAATACTGCACTAACAATGGCATGGTGAATTACAGAATGTCCGGCTCGTCTTTCTTTATATATTTGCGCAGTTTGCAGTGACGTGGGTGCTCTAGATTCAGGGCAGCAATTAGACTTTTTTTTTTTTTTTTTAATGCACAAGTGACATAAGCTTTTATGTTTTATAGCATTTATTTAATAACGTTTATGTAATTATTTTGTGGTTTATAATCCTTTTCCTACGTTTCTTTCCTGCTCTCAGCCTCTAAAACAGTCCTCAACAGCATGCTGAAGGAGCCGTCACTGATTCCAGATCCAATTTTGGCCAAAAACATCTACCAGGTAAAACATTTTAAGTTTTGCTTTTAGCTGAATTATTAAAGAAAATCATTTCAATTGTTTGATGTCATGGATTTTTTATTTTTTGTTTTTTTGTAATGCCTTTAATTAAATTTTCTATAGTTTTGTTTACGTCTGTTGCCTCACAGTTTCCCATCTAACAAATCCACCGCTCATGTACAGTGAGTTTTTAAATGTTACTCCGGCACCTGGCTGACAGACGGCATCAGCCGCTCATGTTTGCTGATGAGGTCACGTGAGAGCCGGCGGTCATGCCTGCCAATCTGCCAGCATCTCCTGTGTTTTCTCCTTTCCCTGCACTGTATGGGCTTTTCCCCTCACCTCCCTTACACCCACCCACCCCTTTTGGCGCGCCATAATATTTCTTCCCCCTCTTTTCAGTGCACAATAAATGACTGCTGTTATGGACCGCTGGTAGACTGCATCAAACAGTATCCTATCCCATAAAATTTTAAGCCTGAAATTGACGAGGAGCTATTGAAGGGGATGAGATGTGTCTGGCTTCACCTGACATAAAAGTTCTGCTTCACAGAGGAAGTGTTTCATCCTGCCTGCCATCCCACTATCACCGATACAGGGGGCTGTAAGGCGATGGAGGGAAGAGGAGGAGGAGAAGATGGGCTGATCTAAATGCATCTCCATGTGCATGCAGTGGATCAGACCCAATGTTCTATGATACAGGAAAAAAATTATCATTTAAAAGCTATGTGGGGGGAAAAAAAATAGCAAATATTCCTCTATACAGATTTTAAATAGTTTTTATTTGGATTGTATTTAGCAGTTCAGAACCACGGAGTTTTGGGCACATCAGTCCCAGTTAAACTATTCATTCTGATTGTATTTATTCACAGTTCACATGTTTGCCTTTCGGTATATTAATGTTTTTTTCCCTGCCCAACTACAAACACCCCCCCTATTCATGTAGTAGTGCTTTGGCCTTGACCATAGGGGCAGAATGGGAGTCCAGGCTATTTAGGGGCAACCAGCTGGGTAGCAGACCAACTATTTCCTGGGGGAGGAGACTTATTTGAATGAGTGTACATGTGTACGTCCGTATGTTATTGTGTCTGTCCAGGCTTTCTTGTGTGCGGCGGGGCTGTGTTGTTCTGTTCATAGCCAGTCAACCCTGTCCCATCCTGCCCTCCCTCCACATCCTCCCCCCCTCTCTCTTTTTACCATTCTGTGGCAGTCCTCTCAGTGTCAACTTAAAGGCTGTTACTCTTCCACAGAGAGTTCATGATAACCGCCCTGCTGCTATGCGCTTTCAAAGAATCCACACACGAGAGGAAGAGCTCTTTATGCATGCATGCCAATCATGGTACATATGTATTAATTAGAGTCCATTTTGAGTGATTGGTGTTTGTTGAGGGTAATGTAATGCCATTCAAACTTTTCTCTTTCTCTTGCAAAAATCAAGTCATGCATATATGACATCCGGCCTTCATAAGTGCACGGTTCCTCTCTGTGGCATCAAGCATCACGCATCCTAATAGAAAATGGCATTTATTCTAAAAGCATTTTTCTTCTGAGATTTTAGAGGAATGAGCAGTGCGCGGAGTCCGTGCACTCTGTGCATTTTGTCAAACTGACATTTGTTTCGTATTTCTCATTTAGGTAATGCACTTTGGAGATTCGTTGTGAAAGCAGATTTAAGTCGACCTGAAACTTTGATTATGCTCTGGAGTGGCATGAGGAGAAGTGGCTTTCACTTTGCATAGTAAACCAATAGTGGGGAAAAAAGCACATTTTTAACTTTAACTGATGTGAAACATATACAGTTGAGATTACAACACCTCATATCTGCGTGCTATGTGGTTTCAGGCAAAGTGTCTTGCAGCAGAATCTTCTTGTGTTCACATAAATACTGTTTTAGAACTTCTCATGTAATTTGATGTTATTGCACCTGCTCAGTCCACATCGTACGTATAAAACACTGTTGTTGCTGCATTGTATGTTGGAATCCTTGACTTTATTCTCAGTGCTATCGGCCAAGAGCATGAGGTGCTGCTGCGTGACAAACTGAACGAGAGGAACCTTTCCTTCCTGGGTAAGCCGTCTCTTGACCTTCTCATCACATTTTTAAAGTCACCGAGGTCACGGCAGTGTAGCCTTTTGGTAAGCTTAGTAAAGGAAGGCCGTGACATGACTGATGCAGTAGATGCTATCTGCTATTGATTTGCCAGTGACAAAGAACTGTTATCATATATCCTTGGATGTTTGTACACCAGCCTATAATTAATATTTAAAGAATAAAAGCTCCTCTCAGTTTCATTAACTTGAACATTTAGTCCTCTCGGGTTGCAGTTGAGTGTTCTTGTTCTGTGTGTATAGAAAAAAATCTTGATCATGTACCTAGCTGTATTTTTGTAATAACAGATTGTTCTCAGGAGATCACCCTGATAGCTTTTCCTCGTATCATCAAAATTAAATCAAGGTAGAGTGTCCCGGTATGAAATTGGGGACAGACTTTTTAACCCTCCCTTCCTCCTATCACCTCCATCCCATCATCATTCCCTAGGTCAGATGAGTGATGAAGGATAAAAGCCATTCCCTCTGTCATTAAGACCATATCATTTATTTGGACACGCAGAGCTGACCTTTCTTCGGGGCTGCACCGAGGACTGTTCTAAAACTGTCAGAGTTCGGAGGGCACCAGGGCCACTGAGGCGGCCTCACCCCATCTGATAAATGGATTGGAAATAAGCTACCCAACAGCAGGGATGGCCCATTAATTTTAATCAAAGCTGATGTAAAAAGGCGATCAGAGCCGCATGAGAATGTCAACAGCCCAGTGGGTGTGAACAGAGGTTCCCATCCTTCTGCACACACACATCTACGCCTACGTTACCACATCCAGGATGCCCCTCTAAACCACAGGCCTTTGGCAGCCTCACTGACCTCTCTCAGCTCTCTTTCTTCATCCTTGGCTGATGCTACCTCCTCACCACCACTGACACCGCCACCCTCCATCTCTCCTCAATTCCCCTCCATGCCCCATTAGTTGAGCTTGGCTGGAGACAAAGAGGCAGGCCCTTGGAACCGAATGACCTGGTCAGCCAGAGATTTAATGGAGAAATCAGGTGTTGTAGGGATAATGGCCGAAGCACGCCAGAAGTCAAGGACAATGGCTGCAGCCTGCACAGACAGGGGTCAGGCTTACAGAGGCTATAATGCCAACCTTGTCCTCATGCTGTATATTTTATAAAGCACTGCAAACTGGAGAGCAGCTCTGTAACTGGGCTTCACAGGTTTTTGTGCAATGACAGCGAATACGTGGCAGATGTAGTTAATGGTTTTACTGCACTTGCTGTCCTCTGCTGCTATTTCTTCTGCTTCGCTAACACTGAGGGCTTTGTTACCAGCCCCCTGGTTAAAGTGGTTAGGTCAGCAGCCTGGGAGTGATGTTCATAGAGGAGCTTGATTATCTAACAGAACTTGTTCAGTGAATAGAAAAACTTATTGCGGCACTTTATCTCCTGTAGATGAAAACCAACTGAGAGCTATGGGCTACGACAAGACACCCGATATCATCCTGGAGGTTCCAGTTGGTTAGTATTTACATTATGAATGTCAGTATGTATCTAAAAGAACTACTTTCTAACCTTAGGCATCTTTTTCTAAATGCATTGCATCTGTTGTCATGAAAACCTTTGGACGCAAACAGGCCCTCGTGGTCTGACCAGCTGGAAGTGAGGTGTGTGTATATGTGCGTATGCAGACAATGCCAGATCTTTGATTTGTGTGAATGACAGGGGGAAAAGGTAAATGTCACTTGTCCCTCCTGGATTTTCCTTGTGTGGATTTCTTGTCACCATTTTTCTCAGCATTGCCGTCTGTTTTTGTTTATGAAAAGCTGTGGAGGGCCACATCGTACACTGGATTGAGAGCAAAGCCTCTTTCGGTGATGACCACAGCCATCGCACATACCTCAATGAGCAGTTCTGGAGCTACTGGAACAGGTGAGCCTTCTCCTCGTGCTTTGTTTGCACTCACTTTAGCCGTATAGTGTTGCGACCAACAATTTCTATGTTTGCATATTCTTCAAAACTTCTCCTTTTTTTTCGACCGCAAACCACCATCAGATTTTCTCACTGTTATGAAAGCAGCTCATATCTCTGTCCAACAACGCTTACCACTTCCTCCCTGGCATAGGCCACATTAACCGCACAATTCCACATGGTGCATCTGTACATTACGCTACTTCCACATCCACTCTTGATATCAGAGCCCTTTGCAGTCTGAATGGTTTGTGTGTGAGCTTGATTGTTTTGTAAAGTATACACATTGTGTTGGACAGGAAGCTAGGAAATGGATGATTAATGCATTGCATCTGTTGTCATGAAAACCTTTGGACGCGAACAGGCCCTCGTGGTCTAACCATGCTGGAAGTGAGGCGTGTGTATATGTGCGTATGCAGACAAATTTATGAATGAGTCCTAGAGATGCTGTTTATTTTACTGTTTTTTTTTTACAGTGTGCTTTGCTTTTGTAATTACTTATATTTAGACATACAAGTTTCTACTTTAAAAACTGCAATATACATGTAAATCGGATAGGTCAGCCACTTCCTATGAAATGATGACAAAAAACATCATGTTATATAATATGAAAAGTGTTGTTTATCTTTTTTTTTTAAAAATAAAGAAAGCACAGCTAACACAATACTCAGTTCTATATAGGTCTTTACTTAAAACTGAAGTAATCAGAGAGATTTTTATGCTGCAACACGCACACACAGGAGTGGTGGTCGCTCACACATGGTCCTCATATCCCTGCCTCTCGTGGCGCTGGGTTCCAGAGCCTGGCTGAGGCCCTGAGCCCCATCAGCAGTGATGGCCAGCTGACATGTTGTGACATGGTGCTGGAGTGCCAGGAGGTTCCAGTCCTTGACGCTGTGTCCAGGTTTTCTCATTTTATGTGTCTTTGTTTTTGTTTTTTTGGTGCATGTGCAGATGAGGATCAGATTTCTGCATACCGTAACACAGAAAGTGAAGCTGTTTACCACAAATGAGTTTTCATATAGGCGTAGCCTTCCAGTGTGTAATGTATACCTCTAAAAATTCAACATATAAAACTTATATTAGGGATTCCCTCAAATAGATAGCTATGATTTCTAACAAAAGGAGATTGTTACATGTATTTTTTTGTAGTTTTAGCATATGTTTACAGTATTTTAGCACACAAATTAAGTTGATAACGTGATTTTTTTCATTTTGATTGATAATGCCTGAAATTTAACTGACAAATTTTATAAAAATAATTATAATTATAGATAAGTGTAATTTCCAAGAGAGAGATTTTAGTTTTTTTTTTTTTTTTTTTTTTAAGACTAATATTTATTTTGCTATACACGTGGACAAAATTGTTGGTACCCTTCGGTTAATGAAAGAAAAAGCCGCAATTGTCACAGAAATAACTTGAATCTGACAAAAGTAATAATAAATAAAAATTCTATGAAAATTAACCAATGAAAATCAGACATTGCTTTTGAACCGAGGTTTAACAGAATTATTTTAAAAAATAAACTCATGAAACAGGCCTGGACTAAAATGATATTAACATTTTGTTGCACAACCTTTTGAGGCGATAACTGCATTAAAACGATTTCTGTAACTGAGACTTGTGCACCTCTCAGCAGGTGTTCTGGTCCACTCCTCATGAGCAGACTGCTCCAGTTGTCTCAGGTTTGAAGGACGCCTTCTTCAGTTCCTTCCACAGATGTTCAATAGGATCTAGATCAGGACTCATAGAAGCCACTTCAGAATAGTCCAGTGTTTTCCTCTGAGCCATTCTTGGGTGTTTTTAACTGTTTGTGTTTTGGGTCATTGTCCTGTTGCAAGACCCATGACCTGCGACTGAGACCAAGCTTTCTGACGCTGGGCAGCACATTTCTCTCTAGAACACCTTGATAGTCTTGAGATTTCATTGGACCCTGCACAGAATCAGACACCTTGTGCCAGATGCAGCAAAGCAGCCCCAGAACATAACAGAGCCTCCTCCATGTTTCACAGTAGGGACAGTGTTCTGTTCTTCATATGCTTCATGTTTGCATCTGTGAACACAGAGCTGATGCCAAAAAGTTCCAGTTTTGTCTGTCCAGAGGATGTTCTCCCAGAAGCTTTGAGGCTTGTCAACATGCAGTTTGGCAAATTCCAGTTTGGCTTTTTTATGATTTGTTTTCAACAATGGTGTCCTCCTTGGTCGTCTCCCATGAAGTCCACTTTGGCTCAAACAACGATGGATGACACTGATGTACCTGGACCTTGGAGTTCACCTTTAATGTCTTTACAGGTTGTTCTGGGCTCTTTGTTACCATTCGTATTATCCGTCTCTTCCATTTGTCATCAGTGTTCCTCCTGTGGCCACGTCCAGGGAGGTCGGCTACAGTCCCATGGATCTTACATTTCTGAATAATATGTGCAACTGCAGTCACAGGAACATCAAGCTGCTTGGACATGGTCTTGTAGTCTTTACCTTACAATGCTGCTCTATCATGTTCTGTCTAATCTCTGAGACAACTCTCTCCTTGGCTTCCTCTGGCCCATGTTTAGTGTGGTCCACACCATGTCACCAAACAGCACAGTGACTACCTGTAACCCTATAAACAGGCCAACTGACTGATTACAAGTTTGTAGACACCTGTGATGCTAATTAGAGGACACACCTTGATTGGACATGTCCCTATGGTCACATTATTTTCAGTCTTTTCTAGGGATACCATCATTTTTGTCCAGGCCTGTTTCATGAGTTTATTTTTAAAAAGAATTCTGTTGAACCTCAGTTCAAAAGCAATGTCTGATTTTCATTGGCTAATTACCAACAGCTTTGTCCACGTGTGTGTGAAAGGCAGTAAATGCACCACATTCAGTAAATGTTACGACAGCCTACAGATGCCTAACAGAACAATCATTCGATTATCCGGCAAGATGACTCATCCAATATCACTGAGCAGTTAAAATGCAGGAGATGAGGTCAAGGTCATGATTAATGGTGTGTTTTATTTTCTACGAGCAACATAGTTTTATCTTGAAATGGTCTACTTCCAGACAGAAAGCACAGGCTTTTTTTTAAACTGTTGTCGATGTCAAGAACTAAAAGTCACTGAAGTGTGAATTTAAAAAGGGCCAAACTTTGATGGCTAGAATCTTTATTAGTCCTCATTAAATGCCTCAAAGAAAGTTAGTGATTGAAAACAAAGGCTTTGTTTAAGCTTTAAAACATTCCTAGACTATGCCTAATAGGACAGACCGGCTCAGTCGGTCAAACCTAAAATAAAGAGTTGAGATGATTAGCACCATGAGCTGCACCACATACAGGCGAAAAGTCTCCCTAAATATTTAACTATAGAAGTAGTAAAAAACACTTTCAAGTTGTCTCTTTTTTCCCAACTTTGGCATGCGTGGCAAAGGTTTACAGTAGGTTGAAAAATATCACAATACTTACAGCTTGATTGGACAGTTAGGGTTAGTCTGAGCCTTGCATATTTGCCCGTGGGTGTCTTTCATTTATATTCACTGGGGCAGTCTTGTCCAAGTGTATTAAGGAACTGACAAAGTAGATCCCATCACGTCAGCCAGCAGCCGAGTCAGACAAACATTGTGTGTCAAAAAAGAAAAAGAATGTCAGTCCCTTCAGACCCTACCTTTTCCAGCACCCTTGTAAATTTTAATTGACATTTACCACTGACATTTCCAAATGTGCCTTATCTTTCCATTATTGTTAGACCTTATGCATTTTTGTCTGAGGTACAAATGTGTGCACACATGTGCCTGTTAGTGTGTGTTTATAAAGTGAATGCCGTGGGATCCCTGCACCGCAGTCACGAGAATATAAACCAATAAAGAAACAGGTGACAAGAGAGTGATTGGGTGACATCATGCTCCTTTCATTTCACTTCTAATTAGGCGGTTTGAGTTTATGAGACGGGCCTTGAAGGGCTGACATTCGGGGTGTTTGGTCATTCCTTCATTCCTCAAAGTCAGATTTCAGTGCTCGAGTCTACTTCCTTCGGTTTCCTTTTTGACTGCCCTTGGAATCGCACACCAGTGTTTGTAATTACTTCATTGCCCCTGATTGACATTTCCAGTGATTTGCTTATTTTTCATGAATTCCCTCTTTGCTTTAACTGAGCCGCTTCACCCATTGCTTGTGTTAATTGTTCTTTGTTTGCCCTCAAGCATCGCAGAGTGGGGACATGTTTTTGTAGACGGAAAGAAAAAAAACATAACTAATTTTCCCTCCAAAGCCCTCACCAACTGCATTTATCATCCAAACAATAGTCTTGCCAACACACTAACCCCATAATGAACCCCTCTTCAGTGGAGTGAGGGGTAATGACGCTTCACCTACAATGCTCCCAAGAAAAAAGAAAAAGGATGGGAAAAAAATGGAGAGAAAAACGGTCTTCTGCAGAATCAGACGGCGTGTTCAGGCCCAGTGCCTGGATGAGATGGTGAAGCAGCAGCTATTGGTGTCTTCTAGCCATCAATCTTAGCTGGTGGCGTTCCAGAGCCAGCGAGCCCTCTGCTCTGACGGATGTTCAGATAATTGAGTGATCCATCTCGCCCAACTATCAGAGTTGCATAAAAATTATTCACCTGCTGGTGAATATTAAACACATAATGAGCCTCTTGTGTGTTTTAGGAGAAGTGGGTAAGGTTAAACACAGCATGTAATGAAATATGGACTCTTGCGTGGTGCCACCTTAACTGCCCCTCCTTGATTATGGTGTACTTAAATCAATTATGGTTGGCAAAGTTCCTTCCATAACTCTGTGAGCAGCAGTTAAACTTCTGCTTTTGTATTTGACTATCTAGCTGATTGCGTATCTAATCGAGAATACATGCAGATCATAATTATTTGCTGACTGTCTGATTATCTGTGCATTTAAAAAAATACATTTATAAAAAAAACTGCTGTAGAAAAGGAGATTTTGTTTTTTGCGATTGCTGATTACAAA